TTTCTTTTTTGCTTCGCTTTCTTTTCTTCTTCTTCTACCCCTATCTTATGGACTATTGGTCCTATTTATATGGGAGAATTCTTACTAATTTTGATAATCACTCAATTATATTTAATTAAAATGAATAATTAAGTAATTATGATTTTATTTATTTGTTTGTTTATTTTAAAATGTGATATGGGCCTTTGGATTTTTATGGAGTTTAGTAGATTTAAAATTTAATTGGGCTAATGATTTAAATTAACCCAATCCATTTTATTTTATTTATTTATTTTATGTCTACACTAACGTGACAAAAAATTATCGTATGGTCGACCAACTAACATAAAAAAGACTCCTTAATCATATACTGATATAATGCATGTTTGATGAAAATACATGTAGAATAAATTTTGTGAAAAGTAGTAATTTTTTTGGAGAATGTATTATTAAAAATATGAAAAAATTATTGATTTACATGTAAAATTATTTTATTAGAAAAATATGTGATTTGAAAATAAATTTAAAAAATAAGTAAATTTTAAAGAATCTCAACCAAACAAAGGAATAATTTGATTGGATTAGCGTTGCCTCCTATCCTGCATGCTTTGGGCGATGGGCCACTGGTTGAAATAATAGGCTAGTGGGCCTAGCTTCTAATTTAGACTGTTCTATTAACCTTTGGACCTCATCTTCTATTCCATAGGCAAATGTGATTTTTTCCCTAATGGAATGAGCCTTTCTTGATCTTTGCAGGATGATTCAGCCATATATAGCCTATTTTGCTAGTATAACAGACGACATTTGTTTTTATCCTTTAAAAAAGGAATTATTTGTTGATTAAAAAAATGCATATAATAATTTACATATAGATGAGATGTCAAAAAGAGAATGGTGAATTTATTTTAAAATTTTCTATTTTATTGAAGAAATTCTGTGAAATCATATCTCATCTTATTATGTGTATGTAACCCATTAAATCCATGTAAGGAAAAGCAATTTGCCGGCCAGCTAACGTAGAATCTGCTCAAGGAAATTTAATTTAGGTAAATATTTAATATATTGCTATCAAAGAACTCATTTTGGAGGGGAAACAATATGCATTTATGTGATCATCCAAGCTCCCTACTTGTCCAAGAGTTAAGCCCCTTGTACAAGATGGTTTGCCAGACAGAATATAAATGACAACATTACTTTGGATGTTGGACAAAAAATAGATTTAAATAGACCAATGCAGTGTATCACCTGACATTTTGTCGAACTATCTGACAAACCCCCTTGTACATGTAGTATGATTCCTCGTCCAAATGGATTGGTCTTGAATAGGTTGAAAAAGGAAATACATTGACAAGAATATATTCCATACAATACGTGACTTGTGCTCCTTAGAGTTTCTTTAAGAGAGATACTGTCTATTCGAGAAAACATGTGTTTGAAATTAAGATACAAGACACTATCTTTTAACTTTTTAAAGTACTGAATGAATTTGACTCTTCATTCTTAATTAGAGTGTCAAAGCTTATATTCTCACCTTGGATTTTGCCAAACGACCCGTAGGGTTGACACAACGGGTGACCGCACCCTCACATACCGAGGTAGGTCCCACTTGAATTTAAGATCGGACCCACCTATGTTGTGTGTGTACGGTCATGCCCACGTTCATCCCTACGAGCACTATAGCTCGGTCCTCTTACCTTTATAATATAGCATTTAATAAGTTACATATTTCAATATTCTACTTCTTGAAACTTTTTCGAACATGTTTGAATTGACTGACCATTGACATATAAACATTTATGTTAAATAAAGAGTTTGTTTGAAAGTGATTTCGAAAATTGATTTTTTGACCGTTAGGAAAAAAAGTGAAGTCCACCTGTAATAGAAGAAGTTAAATATAATGACTGGAAGATTGAAATAACGGTAAAAAAATCAATTTTTTATGGAAAAAATCACTTCCAAACAGGCTAAAAGATGAGGAGAAATCAAATAATTTTTTAAAAATAAAATAAAATAAAGAGTCAAAATAGATAACAATATTGGAGTGTATAAAAATATGTACTCTCTAAATTTAAATATACACTTTATAAATAGAAAGTCTGGGAGAAGCTATTAGGCCGTTTAAATTTTATCAATGACGTGATTACCAAATTAATGCAGTCAATTAAGTCTCTCCCAAAAACTAGTTAGCTACCTCATTTTGTTTTAGAATTCTTTTTCTTCGTAGATCATTTGTTACATGCAAGGACTAATGTACCATAGCACGATTCGAAAATAAATAAATTGAACATATGAACCTTGGTCAAAGGGATCGTCAAATATTTCAATTGGTACGGGTTATTAGATTTCTCTTTCTAATACTCAAAACTGCCAGACCTCCCATGCTTCATTGTCAACATTATTGACTGTTCACGGGATTTTAAGCGCCTTGTATGTCATAATCATGACACAAAAAGGCCAAATTTAGAGACTTTTTCACCCGCTAAATGTGATTTGAACTGCTTTTTCTTCACACCATAAAGCTACTCATCTCCATTTCTTTTGAGCAAGAACAGGGAAATGAGCGTAACTGGTAATGCCAAGGCGAGATTCATCAAATGCAGGAAGAACTTGAAGAAACTGGTGGCCTTTTTCATGAAGGCGAACAGCAGAAGCCATATACATACAGCTTCCTTGAGACATCGCGCTGTTTGGCGCAATGAGCTTTTCAAACTCTCCAATTATTCAAAATTTCGCAGCATGAAAGCTTGTGTTCTTGATCCAGCAATGGCTGACGTTGTTGCCCAAAGTCACTTCTGTATGAATCCCAGTATCGGCATGTAAAAGTTTACACATGAAATTTGTATATTAATTTACTTTCATGTCATAATTTCAAAGAGTTCTTTGCTCTGAATATATCTTTATGCAGTATTTAAGAAATCTTGCTTGATCTAGTTCACCTCCATACCAAAATCCTGCTATCAAGGCAAAATGACATTCGAGAATGCAATTTGTGTAGTGTTCTAACAACTCATGTACCTTATAGCATGGTTGAATGGGAAAAATACAGCATCAGATAGTTGAGCTGACGGATTTTTTTATCAGTTCAACAACATTATCCTTCTAAACATACTCGTAAAAAGGATACCGAGTGAAAATTAATTATGGGATACACAAAACACCACTGCAGAAAATATAATCGAGTTGTTCTCTATAATCATCCATCAAAGGAACTTATTCGTGCACATTAATGCCACATACGATATGAAACAGATGCCAAAAGCATATTCTTGCACATTTGCACACAGGTCTGCCCTTGCAATTTCAAAAAACAAACATAGAAGATCCAAGCTTAAAAAAGAATAGAAGGGCTGAAGCTGGACAAACATTAGATTAACTACCTAATTCATAGGGTATGAATTACATTTCTGAAGAATGGAATGAAATTCACATCTTATGCTAGATGCTCAATATTGCAAGCAATAATGCACCACAAAGCAATGAACATTAGCAGACGGATAACTAACGCAAATCAGCCCAACAATTTCAAAGAAGTCTCTACATGATCAGTGGATGATGAAGTAATAATGAGCAACCGTATGAAGCATGAAAACAGTGTTGAAGTTACCAATGCATTCATAGACTGAGGTTTCACATTGCACAAAGTGACCATAGATAATATCTGTATATGTGACATCCTGCACAAGCTTCACATATAACCAAAAGCCATGGGAACAATATAGATTAGACTTTGGTTGCTCATTTACAGAAGTGTAGGTTTAAGCTGTGAGCAAAACAGACCTAAAAATCCGATCACAAATTAATGTGTGTATATATGACTTGAAATTGCAAATCACATAAAAGTTAAATTTTACAGACAGGATAACACAACATAAAACACAATAGCATGATAAAGTTATATGAACAGAAATAAACATAATAGAAAGGCAAAAGTTAAAAAGATATAGATATAAATTAGGTTGCCACGCAATTCTGCCTCTTCAAAGAAGAGAAAAAAAAGTGGTGTACACTTAGATCGAACTAGTTGAAGTAAATATATTCTGATTTCCAATTTCATTCTATCTTGTCGTCATTTTCATAGTCATGTACAATATAAATTACAGGTCATTAATAACTCTGCGATCAGTTGACATATGTTCGCAATACACATAAAGAAGATTTTCATAATCGCGCAAAATATTAATAGGTCATTAATCAATCTGCAATTAGTTGACAAATGTTCACAAAAACGCATAAAACGTACATGCAGAGATTCTACAGCCAGAATGTAAGCTCCTACGGACGTAATAATGATCCAATGATTGATAAAAGTAGATTTACATAATCACGTAAAATATCAATAGGTCATTAATCAATCTACAATTAGTTGACAAATGTTCACAAAACTCGTAACGCATACATGCAGAGATTCTACAGACAGGATGTAAGCTGCTGCGGACGTAATAATGACTCAATGATTGATAAAACCAAACCATAACGATCAGTTAACCAAGATTCACGGGACACGTAAAACATACATGCAGTGATTCTCAACGAAGTAAGAATCTCATGCACGGCAGGGGAAAAACAAGGTATGTTAGAAAGAAAATTATATAGCACTCAAGTAGAATGGCATAAAACATTTTTCTTGCCAAGAATAGAAGCACCAGAAAAGATATTAGTCGACAAAATCTAAGAATTCTCAGAAAACATCTGAGAGGCAAGCCCCTGAAATCTCACAAGAATGCCAGACAGAAGAACTGACAAATTAGAACACACTGGAAATGCGCATGAAAGATATCCCAAATTAATTTTTATCACTTCAATGTAGTAGTGATTAACATTCAAATTTACTCAAAACTCATCTGGTAGCTAAAATTGGCATGAACAATAAAAAACCATGACGATGAAACTTAACAGCTTAGCTGAAATTTCAATTTCTAAACCAAATAAAGAGCAATTAGACATCATTATTGAATACAAAGGCAAATTGTCACATAAAGAGCAAAATAGAACTCTTCAACAAAGATTTACACTCTTATACGACTTCAACAACAACAAACTTCATAAGCATTCCAAAGAAAATCACCGGATAAAAGATAGATATCACAGAAATACACTAAAATATCCATCAGTTATCCATAACATTAAAGTTTTTAATTTAAAAAGAAGTAAATTCTCTTCAAACGACAGCCACTCATAGCAGACAGACCATAAGAGGTCCCTTTAATTTTTCTAACACCTTAGTTTACCCTGTCTATGAGCATTCATCCCTCCTTTTTTTTTTTTTTTTCAACCACAAAAGGTTAAAGGAACATAAAAGAAAATTTAAGTTATTTAACCAAATGGGTTTCTTCCAATGATGCAAGCATCACTGAAGACACCTCAGAGCCGAAGGGCTGTGCATGCAAGCTCGTCCACATCAGGGTCTTCCACAGGCGGCATCTCATTGAGATCGAAAGGCAGGGGCTTTTTACACGAAGATGAAGCAATGTCGCATACAGCATCATCAACCACGGAGGAGGAGGAGTCGCAGTCGCTATGACACTCTTCCGGATCAAACAGCGTCCTGGGGTGACTCTTCTGCAGGATGAAAGCCCGTGGCGGCGGTGGAGGCTGCCTGGGTCCGCTGAATGACTCAACAGTGCTGCTCATGCCGCTGGAGGTGGGCCTCTGCTGAGCAATGATTAGGTGGTCCTCAGAGTAAAACCGGGGATCCATGAATGAATCATTAGGGTTATTGTTGATCGGTCGTTGCATAGGGTTAGTAGGGTTGAAATCAGGAAAGGCGTTAGCATCTTGGGGCAAGGGGAAGTTCGTCTTAGCCTTAGGCCCACGGAGGGAGCGGGCAGCAGCATCATAGGCCCGGGCGGCTTCCTCAGCAGAATTGAAGGTGCCCAACCAGAGACGAACCTTCTTCTGTGGGTCTCTGATCTCGGCCGCAAATCTTCCCCATGTACGTTTTCTCACTCCTCTGAATCTGACCTCATTAGATCCACCAGATCCATTAGCTACTCCGACGTTCACTAACGCTGCCGCTGCCGCCGCCGGTGCTTTCCCTTTCTTCATAACCTCAAAACCGAAAATTTAACCACCAAAAAAAAAGAAAAAAACTTCTCTGTAGGGAGAAACAGAAGCAGAGAAAAATATGAAATGAGATGGCTACGAAAAACCCATATTTACAAAGGAAAATTTAATAACGCCACAGAGAGAAGAGATGAGATTGTGATAATCTAATTTTTATTTTTGTCTCTCTCTACTGTGTGTTGTGTGTGAAAATAGATAGGGGTAGAGAGA